CCAGTCAACGTTCACGATGTTTAGCAAATAATTAGCGTGCACCACTGGCAACAAGGAATCATCGGCCAAAAGTTGTTTGCACGAATGCACCTGCGCATAAGTTGCATCTCCAAAGGCCATTTAGATTCTGGAATGTTGAGGAAGTTTGTTCCGGTGGAAAAATACCTGAAAGTTACGTTCATTGTATGTGGGTCGACCTTTTCCACAATTCGCGATTATTTTCATCCGTTAAGGTATTCAAAGTCGGCGGTGTTTATTCACCTGGAGATTTAAATCACTTAAACAATCCGCAATAGTAAAGGATTTTCAATAATACAGGAGCATATACATTATACATAGACATTCTACACTATGAAGTGGCAAGTCTGAAAAGCCGTAGATTCTCATTGTGCGAATAGCCAGCGGCATAATACAATCATGGTCTTCTTTTGAACGGTTCCCACACTTAATGGATTCGGATGCTAGTCTAAAACGTTCTGATACCAGAATTAGCGCGTGAGATTCGCGAGTGATCACTGTAAACCCGAGCGAAATAAGGAGAGCCGCAACACGCGACCACGATTGTATTGCGTGAAAATGTACAAGTGCGCGTTCTTGTAGTTTTTCGTTTTCCAACAAAAACGGCTATGCGATTGCTTGAGGCAAAATGAAGGTACAAAACATCAAGCCATTCAGAGGAAGAACACCTTCCATTCGCCATCTTATTGAATAAAGTCTGAGATGGCAGCATTGATATGGAAAGTTAACCTCACAAAACACCCCAGACTGGTGAACATTTTTTGGAGACCATTTTCATGTCGACATTTTCATGTCACCACCGGTTGACCAGCGCCCAAGTCGGATATCAGTCAGAGCGACACTTAGTGAAGCGATCTATCTAGACGCTGAATCCATATCATTAAAATGGTATGTTCGCTCTGGATCCACACGACAACCTTGAAAACCAAGGTCCTGAAAGTGAATAAGTGAGAAAGTGAAAAGTGAGGCTGCCCAAGGTCATATCTATTCGCCATTGTTTGGGCGCGCAGCTCGTGTAGAAATGTCGCAAAGTGAGAAATTTGTACAGGGTTCGGTGAGTAAACACGTAATATCGAGATTACTTGGGCTACTTTTGCCTCTTCTACCGCTATCCAGTAATAGTAAATTTGTATCGGTGTATCTGCAATGGATTGAGGCTCTGTGTTGAGTATGACCTAGTAAACTGTTCTCATCCTCGGTTTTGCGGGTACCACTCAGTAATTCTCGTATTGCGCAGAAGAAGCATCGACGAGCATTATGATGCTTTTTGTGTGAACGCGACTGGTTACCCTGCGAGGTTAAATTTTTGGAGGCAAAAATAATGTCCGAATTCAGCCTGGTCGTTTCGTAAATGTAGTCCGTGCCTCATGAAGCACATTATAGTAAATACGTTTCCCAATGCGATTCCGTGCTGCTGTGTCATGTCTACGGTTGCGTTTGTTTGCTAGCCTTTCTGTGATAAAAGGTGGTTTGCCTATTTCGACTGGTGAACCCCCTATGTGACAAAACAATGACGCTAATGTCCGTGGTTCTTTCAGGCACTGGTCTTTTTTTGAGAAATCCATTCGGGGTGGGATTCTTTCACTTGAAATATTCTGTCAAAGTATTCGTTTATGTTTTTGCCGATTGTTTTCGTTCTTAATTTCTTAGTCAACTTGGTAAATGGTAGCCATGCTGCATTAGCCACCTTCCGGTCGTGGAGACCTATCCTCTCCTGTGTGGAGAAATTGTGAGATCCGGTGCGCGTGGATGCGGAATGTGTGCGAGGCGGCTTTCTAAGTTTCACTGGATTAGACCATCCACTGTGTCTTACAAGTGTTCGTTGTTGCTTATAGTTGTCCTGTCCTGAACCGGCCTTAGCTCGAAAGGCCTGTTTTTCTTGGTACTTTGTGGCTCACAATAACTCTTAGATCCTTATGTTGTGCGCCTACATTCCTTTTGCCTTCCCTTCTAGATGGCCTCTCCTGAGTAGAGTCCGTCGGATTTTACACACGGAAGGTCTTGTGGACACCTTTTTTACCTGGCAATCATGACTCCATTTTCCTTCCAATCGTTTCCGGAAATCCACTTATACAAGGGCTATATTGGTATTTTGTATATCCTCGTAGACAGTTTGTTGCAAAATCGTGCACGTCACTCTGTATCACGAATTCAAAATGCTAGGCATATTTGTTCGTAGCATCGTCTTCGGGAGTATCCGAAATGCTTCACAATCAGATGTGATTTCGTGCCTCAACGATATTGCCACCTCTTTATACATTGATAGGAGTTTTGCCTGTGGCACGGCTCTACCAAGACCATTCAAGCCCTGGGTATCAAACCAAACGGTTGCACTGCTTAAATCTCGGTCCCGAACACACCTTGGTGCGACGAATTATCAGGCCTCGGGTGAAATTTAGCGTGCGCGCCGACCGTGAATTATTCTGAACGTGAAAGCCCGGGAAATGGAAGAGGCACAGAAAACCGAAAATGCCCAAAGTTTACATCAGTTGTTCTGTGCGACCGGTCTCTTGTGACCGAAACCATCAAGAATGAGAATTGAGCGACCATCTTGAATAAAGCAGGACGTCTTGATCGTTAAGCTGAATATTTCGAACCCGTTATTGTGATCACCAGCTTCTACTCACCTGGAGCACATAACTGAACCCAAACCCTGGAAGGTGCACGTAGAACCCTCCACGGGCTCGGTGCTCTTTGATTGCATATGTTCTCTTGAGCGCCACCATGCTTCTGGCTCAGATGGCCTCCCACCCGCATTGTTCAGAGATGGGGGTGAAGTCCTCAGTGAGCGCTTGTCTGATCTGCTTACCCTCATTTGGAAAAAGAAGACTGCCACAGACAACTGGGGAGAGTCGGTGATAATGCCCATTTTTTGGAAGAACGGGCTCCTAATGAGTGTGGTAACCACAGAGGGATCAGCTCGACCCCGACCCTAATGAGGTTGTTGGTGTCACTTTTTCCTCATCACCTTCTGGTGGCTCGTGAAGCAGTGACTTGGGAGCAACAGGCGGGATCACGACCTGGTAAAGGATGTTTTTGCGACCAGCCAAAAATAATAATCACTTCAACTGAGGAAGAAGTACTGCTACTACTACTAGTTTTGCTGGCTGGTTGTCAACCGGACATGTGTTGTATCCAAACTTGTGGGCCAGTATTGTAAAATGTTTCACGTTTTGAAATCCTACTTATAGCGCCTAATTCTTACCTCTGGTTTACTGCTACTAGTTGAGTTTAGCATAAACGTGTACTAACTCAAATACCTCCTTATGATTATTGTTTTCTCACTTTTACAGACGGAGCCACTCGTTCTCCGTCCCCCAGTAGGCTCTGAAGTCTATGGCGAACCGGGGGTAAGGTTTCGAGCTCTGTTTAATCCTGATGGGGATCCTCGTCGTCGGCGCCGTCTGTTGTGCCACTGTATGCTATCAGTCCTATTGGCGCTGATCGCGGTCACGGTGCTTTTGTTCATCATGTTTATGGTTGGTTTGGGTCCTTTGTTCCCTGCCTCGTCTCAATCACCGGTCGCCACTGCTTATCGCAGCCAGTCTGCGTACTCCACTTGTAGCGTGCTGATTCCAGTGTTGCGGGTACGTATGACTGAGGTGATTTCGCCCATGGATAATATGTTCAATGTAACACTAATGGGTGATAGCACGTCGCCGGGGATGCAGACAGTGAAAATATTGCACCTATGCAAAGACGGTCTGACTGTTATTCGGGACAATGAGCGCTGTTACATTCGTCCAATGAGGCAAGGTTGGCGCCGATTGTGTTCGGACAGTCACATGCAACGAGTGCGGGTAAGTAACCTTTCTGCGCCCTGACCAACCAGAGGTATGCATGTCACAAAGTCAGGCAGCTACTGGAACAACTGGTTTAGGTTGGATCGAATACATCTGCCATACTGTTGCCTTAGGGTGTCATATATTGCTGTTACTTCTGTGGTGTCATGTCCTCTATACGTAGCTTCATTCTGGTTTCTTGGAACATGCTCTTAGAGACGGTTGAATGCATTTCGTAGCTTTGGCACTTCAACCACATCAAAACCCTAGTGTATGTGGACCATTCCACTTTGCAACGATTTGTCGTTAGTGCTCTCTCTGACTATATTGTTCTGTTGAGTAAGAACACTGCACTTCCTCAATCGATCGAGGGTTTTATTATGATTTCCTCAGTTTTTCTCAGTATTTGCAAGAAACTTCTCACCTGGAGTGAAAATCCTTTGAACCTAAGGTTTTCTGATTCTAGTTCCATGTACAATACCCCGGAATTTCGGCTTTCTTTCACATTTTTGGCACCATTAGACTATAATGATGATTCCGTTATTGGTTCATCAGGGTCCCCTAAAATCTTGATTAAATGTACCACTGGCGGAAACCAGCCTCTAGTCGTGAGAAAAGCATGAATTCAGTTGCTGAATTTGATAGATAGCGAATTAGCAAATGCTGGATAATTGAAGACGGGCACTGTGAAGCAGTGGTTGCTCTGACTGTTGAACTCCCCCAGGACCATGGCATGCTGCTTGGCTGTACATGTCTATCGTCTCAGCCGATGTTCGTCAGGTCAGTGGAACCCTCATGGCGAGTGCGTGCGTAGATAAAAAAAACATATGATAGTGCGTATAACTGGTCACGGTTTTTATATTGGTGACATCACTTGTATTCGGTTGCGATATTGTCTGAGTGCCGCTTTTGTCAAAGACGATGACCAGTGCAAATCAACACACTTCGAAAATACTGCTGTGGTTAATGTGAAGTGTAATGAAGATTTTAGTAGTCCAAGTGACCTCACTGTTCCAGCTTTCCACTAGCAATTGTTGATGAGTGCCGCACAATGAAGGTCGATTTTTGTGGACGTTATTTACTAATAAGCCATAGGACGGAATAATTTCCTTATCAATGCAGGATAAATGTTCGAAACGTGCCACGGACCAGCTTCTATCGAAACGGATTTCTTGAAGCCAGCTAACAATGATCTTACGTATGTGTAAAGGAAGACACTTCATCTTGAATATTTACTTAGCGGAACCCCAGGGGGCACTCGGGGCACCTGAGATTCGCTCAAGTATCGACAATCTCCTGTTCGAGTATGCAAATGAGTGATTTTTCCGAATTCAGCGACTGGTCAACTGACAAATGCGTTAGGGGAGTTGGACAAGGAATGCACTTCACGAAATGATATGTCATAGCTATACACAGTTAGATGGCTAATTCCTTTTCTCTTGAGAATATGCACTACAAATAGCCAGTGCTTGTTTGGTCAACTGAAGCAATCCACACGTACAACCGACCGGTTTTTTGTATCGGTTTAGCATCACCTGTTTGAAGCATGCCTTACAGGCCCTGGGTGAATAATACGCTTTCCGCCAACTGACTTCGGCGCGGTTGATCCGTCAGCCAGATAGTCAGATTCATCATCATCATCACCATCATCATCATCAAAGACAGCGACATCAGTGTTGACACTGATGCTTCACTGCCGTACAACCATAAGTTTCGTCTAGTTACGTATGTATATATACACATGTATATAGTTATATTAAAAGCCCTAGAGTGAAAAGAAGAGAAAAACGTGGTTGAGGGCTATGTCAAGCATTATTAGGTGTCTACACTTCCAACCGCTCAGTTAGACAATATGCAAAGAAACTGACAGCACGAACGTCACTGACATTGATAAGCCGCCATTTCTTGCAACACCTCTAGTCAAGCACAGGCGGGGTCACGGGGACCACATCCTGGAAGGCGTACAACACCAACAACACCCAAACTCTTCGTGATCTCTTTCACGCCTTTCTGTCAAGTCATGTGCTGTCCACCTTGGGGTTTTTCCCATCCTGAAGGAGGCACGCGGAACAACAATCTTCTCGGCAAACGGTGTCTCGGCATGCGTAGCACACGACCGAGTCATCGTAGTCCTTCGTGCTGGATGTTTTGTCTGATTGAAGCGGATGCAGCACAACCAAATATCCGTTTCCTAATCATCTCGTTACTAACACGCTGACGCCATCCGAAATCAGCCACGCTCCTGAGGCATCGGTGGTCGAAAACCTGAAGACGCCTCACATCATCTACCCGAAGAGGCCATGTCTCGCACCCACACAACAACACAGCCCTTACTTTAGCCTGGTACGCATGGCCCTTAAGACCCAGTGAGATGTCTTTTTGACGTTACAAGTGACGCAAATTAGCAAACGTGATTCGAGCCTTTGAGATTCTTGCACTGAACTCATCAGACACTTCCGTCAGAGTTAATACAACTACCGAGGTATGTAAAGTTTTCCACAATCTCCAGTGGTTTTCTTCGAATTGCAAGGGATATATTCGGAGACGTTTTGAAGCATGACTTTGCACTTTGAAGGTGCCAGGCGCGTGCCAAAAGATGGTATGATGGTGGTCAGTCTATTCAACAGGAGTTGTACTTCTCTTTGGTCTTCAAAGATGAGGGCGATGTCATCTGCGCACTCCAGGTCGACAAGGCTCTCGCCAGCAACAAGTTGAATACCGGGGTGTTGAAGACCATCCAGTGTTCGCCCCATTATTTTATCAATGGCGAAGTTGAACATGAATGGAGAGAGTGGACATCCTTTTCCGACACAACTTTTTGTAGGGAAGCTCACCATACACTAAGAAGTATGTGAATATAGAGATCGGATCATGTTAACAAGCTTATGAGGCATACCCTGTTGAGCAAGTGTAACTGACAGCACTGATCGATCGACAGAATCCAACGCACCATTGAGGTCAAGGAATACCAGGATTGTGGGTCGACTGTACATGACGCGTTGCCCTAACACCTGACGGAGTGTGAAGATGTGGTCAACGCAGCCTCTATCCGGTCGAAATTCAGCTTGATTCTCACGAGTCAAGGCTTCGTGTGCCACCGTAAGACGACGATGAATCAGTGACGCCGGAAGCCTTGTCACTACAGGCATCAAACTAACACCTCTGTGGTTACTACATTCTCTGTAAGTACTCTTTTTGAAAATGGGCACTACTATCGATTCATTCCGGTTGTCTGGGACGATTTCCTTCTCCAAGATAAACCCAAATAGGCTAGACAGGAACTGGCTGAGGAACCCACCGCTATCCTTGAAAAGTGTAAATGGAAGGTCGTCAGGACTAGCAGCACGATGACGCTTGAGTAGAGAAATGCATTCGGACACTTCTGAGACTGAAGGCGACCTTTCTGTTGAAGGATAGGTTTCTGAGTTGGAGGCAGCAGATGGCCAGCCGAATTGCCGCTCGAAGTACTGTGCCCAGTTGCCCAAACGTTCTGCTCTGCTGCACGTTAGGGAGCCATTTTGGTCCCTGATTGTTTCACTGACAAGAGGTTTCCGAGGACCAGTCGAGCAAATCAAGTGGGACAGCTTGCGGACGTTTCCAGCATTCGTTGCATCTTTCATTTCTTCGGTCTTTCGGGCGCGAGGAGGGTGGAAGACGGAAAATGTGAAAGTGTAGCAAGGTAGGCATCATTAATAGCATGTTTTCGCTTACTCGCCTTGCTGTATGTAGCAAGTAAGGCGACCCGACTGATGGCACCACGAGACGGCCGATGTGGCATGAGAGTATTGTTATCTGTAAATGTCATGGTTGTACGAGGGCTCAGTACTGCCAGGGTACCCACATCTAGACAGGAAGACGACTATGCTCCTCAACCAAAGACTAGCTTAAAAGCTTAACCGCAAAGCAAAGCTGTTGGGCTGAAAGTGCAAGTACATTAACATTTTCACGGAGCACGTCGCCACACATGCTCCAACCCCCATCCTGGAGAGCCAGGAGACTGTGTTCGTGAGACCTGTACCCATGGACCAACTTGGTATGAGAGACTCTGTGAGTGTCGCGCGAGCACCCCCAGTTTAGCTCAATGGGTCCCCTAGGTACACAAACCGCCACACCACGGTAAGGTTCAGTCTCTTCATGATGGCTAAGCACACTTGGCCCGCACGTACAGTCTTCATACGAAGTCATTCGCTGTCTAATTACACAGGACATTATTATGATCAGTCGACCGTCAGTTAAAGCCAAACAAGCATTTGTGCAATTTTAATCTGCTTGATTATGGAGGCCCACCTGACGTTGAATGAATCAAACCGCCGATAAAAATACCCTAGCAGACTTGAAGTGTTCACCAGCTTAATACGTACAAATCATTTTTTCTTAGATGTCAGTGGAGCATCCTAACTCTCGACTTTATTGCGCTCAGGTGTACATGATAGTAAAATGCATAAAGAGCATAAAACGCACGATGAGCTTGAGATGGCTCAGTGTTTAATGTGCGAGCTTGATGACCTTACTGCTCTTGTCTAGGCTTGGGTAGCTTGACAGTATCTCAGCCCTCGTGCTTCCTTCGGGTGGCATGGCAGCTAGGGACCGAAAGTCTACTACAGCTGAGCCATCATTGTTATGTTACTCATTATTCTTTAAAAGGCATTTTCCTGGTCAGCGCTCACTTTCATGTATCCCTCAGTCAAGTATTCGATTCACTGAGTTCCAGTCACTCAGTAGAATGAGCGGTACTACATGTAGGGCGGCCACTTTGTAGGAGGGACCACCGTATTTTAAAGTTAGCATTTTCAAAGTCGTAACCCAAGTTCACCTGTATTCACTAACTCCAGCCAGTAGTGTTAAATATGATGGAGTCTTTCAGTGAGGGGCACTCACCTGGGTGACCAAAATGTCCCTAAATATCTATGCCTTTTCTACGGAGATTCTGTGGCTACCAGAGTCCACATTCATTTGACACCACGTCTTCCGTATTTTTTAAGCGTTTCAAAGTATTGATAAGACGAGATGCGTGTTTG